AGACATTTTTGGAAGGGGTGAGGGAGTTGTTCTACAACGAAGAGGACGACTTCAGTGATGAGGACGAAGATGATGAGAAAGAGGACTGGAACTTCTAAGGAGGGTGACTTGACCTAGGGGGAACGGGTGACCTGATGTTGTGCAGGAAGAGGAAAAATGACTAGAGAGGAGATGATGATGAAATACACCTTCAAGGGATGGGAACCAAGGCGACTTAGGGGAGAGATAGAAATGCCTATACCAATGCCAAATAAGTGGAGGGGGACCACGTGCGACTGGGTGGGTTTTGAGGTTGCCCGAAAATTATCATATGTATGGATAAAACGGATTTGGAACCCAATAAGGGAAGAGGAAGGTTGGGACGAGATAGCAGAGGACAAAGTGGAGTCGATCGGAACAATTGTCCTTTCCGAAGATGGGTGGCACCTATTTTGCACTACTTTAGCAATGAGACAGGATCCAATGTGGCTTCTAGGGGATGCTGAGGCGCAAACCCGAAAAGAAGGCAAGAGGTTCGTCAACGAGGGCTGTGACGAAGTTAATAGCAGGGTTGTGATGGGAGGATGGAGGGAACGCAAGCCTTCCTGCCTGCGCACAACGGCGTGGGTGCCCGAGTTCGTGACCGACTGGTTCGGGGGATTCGAGCACATAGCAGACGTGGTCGACTCCATGAGGGAGGTACACATAGAACGTGCCTGGCTGACCGATGAATTTTATAGGGTTTCCTTAAAATATGGGCCCTTCTACAACGATAAAGCCAGTGAAGTCATCACCGTCCTAAGGATAGGTAAGTACAACCGTCGAGAGGTAGACGTGGAAGCTTGGGACGCCAAAGTTAGCCAGGAGGCGGCGGGCGCGCCGTCCTACGTGGACGATGTCTTTACGCTGTTTGAGGTACTATGGTTCGATTAGAGGGACCCAAAAATCGGACACCGCAAGGAGGTCGGAGTATGGAGGGTGCATGTGAATCGGGATGTAGCATAAGAAAAGTGGGCGTGTACATTAGTTAGTAGGGGATGAGAGGGGGTCGGAACAAGGAAGGTAGCAACACCAAAAGGGGGAGGAAGACTTGTACGTGTGTGGGGCAGGGATGGCAGCAAGAACCAGTGTACGATAGGTAAGGAGTGCTGAAAGACTAAAGCACGAAAGGCATGGAATCTTGGTGGGTGCAGCAATCGGACTAAGGAAGCAGGAAAGGAGACATTGCAAGATGGCCCGACGAATGACATTCTGGGAGGATAGGCCTCGTGGGATCCTACCACCAAGAGCATCGGGGGGCAGGGTCGAAATAAGCCTACCAGCAAGAAACGTGGTAAGTAACCCGGTAATGGACTGGGTGGGGGTAGAACTGGTGGAAGACACGGTGTACCTAGTAGTAGAGCTGAAATGGCGTGCGAGAGGAGAGTTCGGGGGCATAAATTTGGACCTCCCGGGGCGCGTGCATGCGACGGGATCCTTACACCTGTCGGAAGAAGGATGGCGGACCTTTGGGATTGCTTTGGCTTCCGGGGATGACCCCGTGCGAATGTTTGAAGGCGCATGGCAAATAACCTGGTAGGAGGGGTTTGAGTTCACGGATCCAGAACGAGATAACGTGACGGCTGAGGTAAAAGTCGCCACAGCAGGGACCTTTGAGTTACCAAATGGGGTCGTACGAATGAGTCTGCCACCCTTTCTACTAAGACGACTGGGGGGCATAGAGCGAGTGGAGCAGGCGGTAGCTGCCGTAACTAGGCTAGATTTTGACGAAACATTAATATATCAGAAATACTACCGACCTTCCTGGAGATGGGGCCTTTTGAAGACGAACAGGGGCACGAAGTGTTTTGTATACTACGAGCAGCAATAAATACTAGGCCAGGAGTTTCGCAAATAAGTGATGAGGCTATGTGGACAGTCATCCGGCGGTAAGTAGGTCGGAACGCGACCTACATAGATGACCTTTACCGGCTGTACGAACAACCGGAGGGGGTTGCTGCTCCTGGGGATATGGAGGGATAGTTGGGATCAGGGAAGAAGAATGAAAACATGAAGGGTAAGGGGGCAGTAGGTGAACGTTTACTAAGGATTGGCTATAACCCTCTATATGTGGATTATGCAGGGAATCGCCAAGGCAACAATGGCAGCAAGACGTGTGCGAATGGAACGCCAACCCCATGTGCGAATGGAATGTCAGCCCCGGTACCCCGAACCGCCCTGGAATAACGGCGGGCGATGGGAAGTATCCCTCCCATCGAGTTCCAACTATCGGGGATTCGACGTAGAATGGCGGGCCGTAACCTTGGGGAGAGACACCGCCTTCATGTTGGTAGAATGTCGGTGGACGGGGATGAGAATCAACCGGGGACCAGGGGATGACCTATTCTCCAGTTTAGAGGTAACCGGGGTCCTGTACCTACCCGAGGCTGGGTGGCACTTGCTGGGGATAGGAATAGCGCAAGGCCACGAGCTGGCTCCCGTCTTTCGGAGGGCGGCCCAGGTGTTGACCCGGATAGGACAATCAGTCTGGGGTAGAAGAAACGTGGACTTACTTACCCGGGTGGAAATGGGAGGATGGAGGGAATTCAGGGCACCTACCACGCCGCTGAGGTGCCGAGTTCCCCGTTTTATGGTAGACCTCGTCTTCGGGAGTCTCTCGAGGGCGCAGGAGCTGGCAGACTCGGCGATAGTCTGCGTAGACCACTTCCTCTCCCCGACCATTGGGATGTTCTACGATGTCGCTGGAGCATGGGCTGTTCTAGGGAAACAGGGCCCACGAGTTACTGTAAGTCATCCACATCCTGATGTTTAGGGCGTCACGGCTAGACTGGGCGGGATGCGAACGCATAATCCAAAGGGAAATTGAGATAGGGAAAATTTATTCGAAGAGTCTACCGAACCGGAAGGGCCTACCACCCGCAGGCGGGCCAATAAGGCACAACTATTCGAAGAGTTTACCGAACCAGAAGGGCCGCGACGACGAGAACGGGACTAGCACCCGTAGGCGGGCCAATAAGGCAAATCGAGTATAGTCCGCTACCTACAGAAGATCGCCGATGGAAATAAGAAAGGGCCTCGGACCCAGATGATTAGAACCCGCTAGACAATAAAGGAGTGGAGGGGTAGACTCCTAATGGTTGTCGTGCCCCTGAAGGCCGAAAAGGGGAATACTGCTCGGGAAACTTTCCCTAGCAGGATGCCTAACCCGGACTCTTGCGCACCGTCCCAACGGGGCAAGGGCGCTCTAAACGAGCCTGTGATAAGGGAAACTAAGTCACGCCCTTAGCTCGGTAGGGCAGCAGGGTCAGTTGTGGCTCACTTTTTTTGGGAAGCAATCAGGAAACGAAAATAAGGAGAAGGCTATTTCCCGAATAAAGATAAGCCAACATAGCCGGGGACCTAGGGAACCTAAAAGCCTCGCATTGTGTGTGTCCTGGGAATTCTTTGGCTTATGCAGAACTAGGCAAAATGGCAATGGAGGATGAGACGGATAACCGTAAGAGCGAAGGAGGACCAGGCTTAGGAGGCAGTGCCGTGCAGAGCGAAATAGGGCAGAAAGATAGAGAATCGATAAATCCGGATGGTACCAAAGAGAACCGGAAGGAAATCTCCTCAGGGGAAAGCTCGGGGAAAACCGGGGGAAGCAGGCAAGGGACTTAGGAAACCAAGGAGGGCAAGAATAAGAATAGGACAAGCCCCCAGAATTCAGAGGGAGATGTGTCTAAGAAAGTGACGGTCAAGGATGCGAGGCGTAAACTAGCAGAAATAGAAAAGAGGACCGCGGAGTACAAGGCAAGATTGATCGAGGAAATGATGACTGGGAACGAAGAAGGCCCTCTGCAGGAAGAACCGCGGGACGAAAAGAGGACCGGCCGAGGCGGAAATGGGCAAGGGGATAAGGGTAGCGACCGTGGGGGAACCCCGAGCAAAAGGAGGAAAGAAAAAAAGAACTCTCCGGGGATGGAAGCGGAGAAAGTTACAAACCCGCCAGCCATAGATAGTAGGGCTAGCCGTCTGCCGACTACGCCGACAGTAACGTGGGGTTGTGAAGGGCTCTGGAGCCTCAAGGAAAGGGTGTTGGGATGGTTCGACCCGAAAGGAACTGCAAAGACTAGGGAGGGACAGAAGACCGGCAAGGAAGGACCGGATATCAGTATGGTAGGCGAGGTCAGTAGCTCCGAGGGAGGCCTTAAGAAGATAGTATCATCCCTCACACGAGCACTGAACAAAAATCAGGGCTACCTAGCGGACGCTAAGAAAAAGTTGACGTTTGACGGGGCAAATATCACGGAGTTTCTAATCGATTATGAGAGCCTAGCTACGTTACTGAAATGGACCGAAGAAGAAAAGATGGACCACCTAGGCCAGCATGTGTCACTGAGTCTAGGGCGGGACATAATGGTCATTGTGTGCGCAAGCCGATCTTGGAAGGAGACCCGGGATGTGATGATGAGAAAATATCTAGCAGTGGAGAAAATGGCTACGGAGGCCGATTTAGCGGCAGTGCAAAGGAAGAATTTCGCAACGTACAACGACTTCCTACGGGAGTTCACCCTGGTAGCGCTGAGGATCCCCGGGGTTACGGACCGAATAATGAGCAAATACTTTCTTAGACAGTTTTTCGAGTTCGACAAAGACAAGATTCTATCAGCCTACCAGCAGACGAGCAAGTTCGTAAACACTAGGGATGTGGATTTTAGCACCGTAACGGACCTGGCCGAAAAGATGGTAGTGACCGAGACGTAGGCCTTTCTTAAAGAAGGGGAGGTCATAGACCTGACCGGTAAGATAGGTGACAAGGTAAAGAAGGGGATTGAAAGCCCACACGAACGGGTACACGGAGTCGACCACAAAATTGAGAGGGTGGAGAACGCGCTACTGGTTATGCAGGCGCAAGTATCCCAACCCGCCCTCCCTCCCCTGGAAGCCGTAGTTCCGCTAGGTGTAGCCAGTCGAGGATTCGGACGAAGAGATCCTGCTAACGAGCAATGCAAGTACTGCACCGCGATGGGACATTATGTGCGCGCTTGCCCAAAGCTCAACCATGATATATTAAAAAGGAGATGTATCAGGTCGTTAAAGGGAGAGATATTCAGACCATAGGGAGAACGGGTGAATTGGAACGCGTTAGGAGGGATGCGACGAGTTATTATCATGCTCAATGGGTTAGAGATAGCTGCGGTAGAAGCTGAGCCGGTGGTCGAAATCATCTGGGATCAACTTCGGGGCCGTGGGCCGCATGTCAACTTCATCTTGGAAAACGACGGACGTGATAGGGTGAACGCGACTACTCGGTTAGGGACGGTCGGAAGAAGGATTATCCGTGACACCGTGATAGAGGAGGTTGCTGGAAGCTCCGTACCCCAGGCAGAGCCTGAGGACGGAGAACCAGAGAAAGTCTATGGGAAGCCTAGGGAAGAGGAGCCTGCGGACAAGGTTACCGCTGCCAAGAAAACATTTCGGTGTCAAATCTCGATCTTAACCTTGCCCGAAATCGACGACACCCTTAGCAATTTACTAGGAACCATGGTGTCGGTGTTGTTTCAGACCATGCTGCAGGCTAGCCCTAGGTTGCTCAAAGGGTTTAGACAACTGTTGACTCGGCGACGAGTAGAGATAGACGAAAACCCCGAATTACCAGAAGAAGGAAGGAAGGAGGAAGCTCTGCAAGAGCTTGCTAACCTTCAAAGAAGTCGCAGGGATTTCGAGGATCTTGAGAAATCCTTGGCAGACATCCGTTTAAGCTTGCCAGACCGAGAAGGTGGCGAAGTCATGAGGGCACCTCCTGGGACAAAGCTCAGTTTCCGTGCGCTACCCGTAGGAAAATTGAAGATTCAGCTCGGAACTCATCATACCGACGCATTAGTAGACGGGGGAGCAGAAATCACTCTCATAAGGACAAATTTCGCAACAATCACAGGCTGTACGGTAAATAAGGAAGTATCGGGGAGCATTCGGGGAGCCGGTGGGGAAATTCTGTTCGCAGAGTATGTCATGAAATGTGCAATCAAGGCAGGAATCAGAGAGTCAATCTGGTCGTTTCAGCGAATGACCGTAATGGAGGAAATGGATTACGACATTATCCTCGGGAGGCCATGGTGCGCAAACGTAGAAATGATAGACATGCACTTGCATGATGGCACGTACATGGTAGATATAGAGGACCCAGTGACCGACCGGGGTGAGATTCTCCGACTCCTCGGGACGGGAGGAGACCCTCCGAAGGGGAAGTTGGCAACGTGGTCGCCGTCGTTCGAGGATAGCGCACGAAAAGGGGCTTTCGCGTGGATGGAGGGCATGATAGAAAGGGTAGAAATTATGATTGAGGAGGCATTCAACAAGAAGGAATGAATCAAGATGGGCCTTCCCCAGAAGAAGAGGAGGCAGAAGGACAAAATCTTGGGCGTTATGGTAGCAAAAAAGGAATCAGAAATCGAACTCGGTGCCAGCCTGCCCAGGCGGAAAGAAGTATGCATGGACGTGCCAGAAGTCGCACTCGAGATCCCTGATTTGTTATAGCTCATCAAGGCCCTCAGATACCACAAGGTAGGACTGGACTCAACAGCTTTGGCCAAATTCGAAGGAGAGGTGCAAAAGGGATATTGTCTGAATGGAAAATTAGTTAGTATTCAACCACGAATCGCAGAGGCAACAAGGGCAATCCCGACCGTTCATTTTTTAGGAGAAAAATCCCGGAAGGAAGTGTTCGAAAGTATAAGCCGGTAGGGAAGAAAGCAAAACCGGTCTCGATCCTGCTAGAGACATCGAAGGAAGAGGCTATGGAGAAGGAAGAGCGACGGAAGGGCATCGGATACCAGATGAGGTTGCCGATACGATGAAGATAGGGGTAGACGGATTCCTAATGGAAGAGGAGAACCGCCTGACCAAAAGGACCTGCCAAGAGTTTCACCTGGCATTTGCTTTTATTGATGCTGCACTTCTCCCTGTCTTTTTCTTGAGAGCGACCGCCTCCACGAACCCACTCAAGTTGTCTCGCGCATCTAGAATACACTTGTACCCATCTGTTGATACAGGCATGACCGCAAGGTCAAGGTGGACCACATGTCCTGGCCCTAGCACCCGCGTAGACCTAAGTGGCTCAAAGACACGTGCCGAGCTTCGTTCTTGGCAGATAAGGCATGTCTGGCAGTATATGGCGACCATGCTTGCCATGCCTAGTCAATAATAAAGTGGCGCTATTTTTGCAAGAGTTTCTTTAGACGACCGATATCCTCGTACTAATCCGCCGTGCATTGCTTGGATAACGTCCAACTGCCTAGATCTTCTGCACACAACTCTTCTAGGCATAGCACCTTCTTCCTTTCGGAACAGAAGGTCGCCCCTTAGGACGTACCTTTCGGCCTCCTCCCTTGCTTTAACGCTGACTTCCGTGGGTTGCTTGTTTCCTACCAGCAACAACCCGATCTCTCGAAAGATCCCTTCGTATATCTGAGCGTAGAAAAACTTATTCCCTTCCTGGTCCTCACTCTTTCTTTCCTGCATCTAGTTTACCACCCATTGCAACTTTTTTTTTTCCCAAGATTCCACTAAGCTCATCACGGCTTCCCGGCCTCCCTCAACCGCCATTGCTATTAGCTCCTCCTTGGGTCCTACTATTGCTCCCCATGAATCTCTCTCCTCTTTACGGTCTCGAGTGGTGACGGGTCCTTCTCTAAGTTCCGCCACTACGGCAGGCGCCCCCTTCTCCAAAGTCCGGATCAACAATTCTCCCGACACACATTCTTCGCCCATCATTTCGTTGTCCACCGCAAAAGTTTCTCCCTCGAATTCAAGGAACGCGTCTATGGGCTCTGCATCCTCCACCCCTTCGGGAGTGATGCAGACCCGACTAAGCCCATCCGCCTTGTTTCTAATTCCAGCAATCCGTTCGATCTTGTAATCGAACTGCCAGATAAATCATACCCATCTTCCCACCGTCGGATCTATAGGCCTGTAGTTCTTTAAGGCCCCTGCGACATTCGTCGGATCGATCCTTAAGATGAATCGTCTCCCAAATAGGTAGGCCTGGAAGGTCTTGAGGCAATGTAAGATGGCTAAGACCTCCTTTTTGAACTGCGAGTACCGCCGTTCTGCGGAGTTCAGGGTTCTACTTTCGAACCTGATTGGTCTTTCTCTCCCTTCCTCATCCCGTTGAATCAGCACGCCTCCTGCGGCCAAGGGTCCTCCATCCGTTTCTAAGATGAACGGTCGTCCCACTTAGTCATTAAGACAAGGCGCTGACAAGGCGACTTGCTCAGATGTCAATATGTCCTTAAGGGTTTGGACGGCTCCTTCTCGCTCCTTCGTCCAATCCATGGTTCCTTCTTCTCTGATCATGGCCCGGATAGGTTCGACAATCTTCGCAAAATTCTTAATGAAAATCCTCCAAAATCCGACCACGCCTAGGAACGCTCTTACCTCCGTTGTTGTGCGCAGGGGTGTTGGTCATTGCGATATCTTGTCCGTCTTCGCTGAATCCGGCTTCCTACCATACGCGCCACAACGAAATCCCAATATGGTTACTTCCGGTACTGCTAGAATACTCTTTGGTCCTCTAGCCGTGATATTGTATACTAGGCATCGGCGGAGTAAGTCCTTGATGTCTTGTAGATGGTCCCACACAAACCTTCGGATTCCCGGCTGGACTTCCGTCTCGTCCTTTTCTTGCGCGCCTTTGATCGGATTATCGTTGATGTAGGGCTCGCACTTCTCTGGAAACATATCTCCGGCTACGGCGAGCATCCTCCTTTGCGCTTTGGCTACAGCGTTCGTAAAGCCCATAGGGGTCACCTGCATCTGCAAATGACCTACGGGGGTTTGCATTGCGGTGTGCGGCCTATCCCTGACATCCAATGGAAGCTGGTCGTACCCTGAGTACAGATCGATCAGGGAGTAAATGCTCCGGCCGGCGTGCGACTCTGCTAATAAATCGGCGTGAGGCAGCGAGCCAGCACCCCGGATGGTTACCGCATTCAACTTCTGCAGATCCTGAATCCATCTTAGTGTTTTGTTGGGCTTCCGAAAGATGAACCACCGGTTTGCGTATGGCGACGCCGTAGGTTCCACGACGAAGGAGTCCATCTTTGCTCGAAGAAGGTATGTTACTTCCCCTATTATCTCAAGTTCATAGGAGAGACCCTTGTCATTCCAGCACTCATGTTCTACCGTGTGGATTCTGACCGGAGGAATCAGCTTCGCGTCCAGCCGCCCCTTGGATAGAAGACTTCTACTTAAGGCATCCTTTCGTCAGAAGGTTTATAGCAGACAATGGGCCAAAATTTGTAAACCAAGAAATATTGGGGATGCTTAAGAGACTTTGCATACCAATCAAACTCATCGAGCCGTATCACCCAGAGGCCAATGCACCTGTGGAAAGAGGGCACCGAACCTTAAAGAACACGATTGCGAAGCTCGCAGCAGATCATCTGGGAAGTTGGCCTAGGTATCTCAAGCAGACTGTCTTTTCAGAGAACATGACACCCAAAAGGACAACGGGATGTATCCCAGCAGAACTTTGGTACGGAAGGGAGATCGACTTTCCCATTGAGGCCTTGATACCTACCTGGAACAAGTTAGATGATGATCCGCGAATAACTACGGAAGAGTTAATCGAGGCTAGATGTCAGCAGGTCCTTAAGAATGAAGAGGTCATGGAAGATATCGCCAACCGGGTGCTAGACAACAGGATGAGGGACAAACCAAGGTGGGACTAGGTTAAGAATATCAGAAAGGAACCACTTCAGGTGGGGGAGACAGTATTGCTAAGGAACTCGACACAAGAAAGTACTTGGTCTGGGCAGTTGGGGAGGAGGTTCAAAGGCCCCTACCGGGTCGCCAAGTGGGTGGGATTGAACACCTTCGAACTGGAAGATTTGGATGGAACTAGATTGAAAGGGCCCTTCCCGGGGCAACGATTGGTCAGGTTTCTAAGTCGGGACCCAGTGGAACAATGGCTTCAGGAGGCCGAAGATAAGGAAACTGAGGGGCAACAAGTTAAGGACTGACAACGGTCTTGCCCGCACTATGGTTCAATCTCTGACTGCGCTCGTGAGACTGTCATTTTCTTTTTTTGGGTTGGGGCAATGAGTTGGACTGAGTGAGGTTGAAAGGCAGCATGACTTGGGATTTTGCGATAACTGGCTTGTGCGACGACGGGAAGGATTGTTGGGGCATTGTACCATAGTTTTTGACCGGATAATAATGGGACCTTCACAAACGGCGCATTTGCATAAGGGAGGGAAATGTATAAAATGGGCATATGATGCGAAGGGAACTGGGAGCATTCTGGGAAAGAGGAGCTGTCTACCGGATTGGGGGAATGGGTGTATGAGGGGCATTGCGGGTGTTGTTTTGTTATACAGGACTTAAAAGAAAAACGACAAAAAGCAAAAATGGAACTCGGCAACGAGAACGACAACGAGGCAATCAACAGGCCTACCGGAGGGGAAGAAGCAGGACCAAGCCAAGGGAGGAGGAATACGAAGAGAAAGTTGTACATAGGGATCATGGGCGGGCCAGTGGTAGGCAGGGGTGAAAAAAAGTACGTATGTAGAAGACCCTCGCCCCTCCGCAAGGGAGAAGATACAGAAATCTCATCTGACAGTGAGGGCGAGAAGGAAAGGGAAAGTGTGGTATAAGGGGGCAATACAGATATGCGGGATAAGGCTCAGGCCTCTAACGATAATGGAACCAATAGGGGCGAACAACGTGAGCCTTGGCAAGGGGAAAGCGAGGAGAGACAGGACGTGCACAACGAGCATGAGGAGGGCGAGGAAAGAAGGGAAAACCCGTTTGAAGGACGAAACGGCCACGACAGTTGTAAAGGATATGGGACAGGGACAAAGATTCCTTTTACTTACGATCCAAAGAATCTAGCGGGAGGGTATAGCCCCATACAGATGGAAGACGAGGAAAACGAGGAGGAGGATGTGCAAGAGATCATAGAAATCAGCAGCGGGGATGAGAGGGATGAAATCTCCAGGCCTAGGGAAGAGAGGCGGTCCCCGATGCACCAGCCGCGCGATGAGGCCTTCAGATGGGAGGATGAGTTTGGGCCAACGCCCAGTCATTAGTTTCAGCAATGGACCAATGTGATCAGGTACGAGTGGATCATCAAGGCCCGAGAACTCGCCACGCCGTTGGATTTTTTTAGTGAGACGGAATTACAGGAGATTGCAAAAAAAAGGAGAGAAATTGAGACCTACGGCATGGGGGTTAGAAAGCCCGCCAAGGAACAGGGTGGACAAGGGATCGGGCAAGCTAAGGAACAAGGCACCAATACGAACTACAGGTCGATCAAGCATTGAACAGGATTCCTGCTTTTTTTTTTTTTTTTTCTTGCAAGACATGAGAATGACAAGAGCATGTATAGTATGAGTAAGCTTGCTAAGGATGAAGTGATAAAAGGGTCAACTAAGACTGTGGCACTAT